ACCCAAGGCCAAACAAGGGCCACAAAAGTCCCAGATGGCCCCAAGGGAAGGGTAGAAGACAAGCAGCAAGAACCTCTTTGGAAACGGTTCCCGAACACTCCAGGGAAGATAACCCTGACATGAAAGGATAGCACTCACAGGACACTTAGGGAAGGCCGCCCTAAGTGCATACAGCCCCAGTACACTTCAGGTACACCTGGCCACCACACCACGAAACAGCAGAGGACGCTACGAAGGGAAACACTGCTTGAGACACTGAGGCCAGAGATGATGACCGCCCCGGATTGCAATAGCTGATGAACTGGGGTTGAGTAGCTGGTGCGGTGGGGCTGGAGCTCCAGTGGAAGAGGATGAGCTGCGAGGAAGAGCGATGCAACGGGGTGGGGTGACATTTACTTGCTTGCTTGTTTCCTTGGGAATTGAGGGAGTTCTACCTCTCTGTTCAGCTTTCGGTTGTATTTTTCTTACCATGTGGGGTCTGTTTTGTTATGCCTACCTTTCTGGGTGCCTAACCCTGGTCGATGGCAGATAAGGTTAACCCCCAACCACAGGAGGGTTTTCCAGGGCCATTGCTCCGTGCACCTCTCTGAGGGGACTATGTCCTGGCTAGAGGTCCCTGATAGGCAGAGCTCCATTGACTGTTGTCCTAGTCTAAATATTGCCTATTAGCCTGATAGCTCCAGGGAGCCAACGGGGCTCCACACAGAAAATAAAGCATTATTCAAAATTTTGTTATTTAGCACTCACACAGCAAATCCCTACTCTAACAAACCCAAACCATATTTAACACCCATCATGCTGTTTTAATAATTATATTGATCATGCAATGTGACACACCAATTTATATCTCATTAATCAACTGACTACTCCTTGTAGGATGACAGTCACTTGGTATACAGAGTTTTTTGTCTGAATCAGAATTTAATTAGCCTTAGCTTAGAATAAAACAGCAAATTAAGTCTTTGAATGCTGTATGGGTCAGTACTTTTCAACTTTCTTCTCTAAATAAATGAAATGTATTAAGAATCATAAACGTTTATTGAATTTAGTATATAAAGGGACTGCATTATGAATCACCAAAATATATACACCAAATAATTACCTAAGTGTAATTAACCAAGAGCAGTTACAGGATGAGAGCTCCTTTTGTGGTATCCTGTCTTCCCAGCACTCTTTATTGTATGACACTTTGAAACTACAATACTGATGGTTTTGCCTTCCACCACCTTCTCACTTAACTTATTCCAACCATTCACCACTCTGTTTGCAAAAGTGAACTTTCTAATGTTTTTTCAGCAGCTTTGTTTCCTTAGATTGAACCTATGTCCTCTAGTTCTTACCTGGTTGATACCTGGTTGATGGGGTTCTGGGAGTTCTTCTACTCCCGAAGCCGGCCCGAGGCCAGGCTTGACTTGTGAGAGTTTGGTCCACCAGGCTGTTGCTTGGAGCGGCCCGCAGGCCCACATACCCACCACAGACTGGTTGGTCCGGCACTCCTTGGAGGAAACAATCTAGGTTCCTCTTGAAGATGTCTACGGTTGTTCCGGCAATAAATTTGGCGGAATTCAGCCAGAATTCAGCAAAGATATCCTACCTGGACCCCAGAGTGATTATGCAGGAATACACGATCCTGCTTTCACTGAATGTTCAAATCAGTTGAATGCTCTTGCAGCCCCAGCACCCATCATAGAACCACAAAAAACATAAACAGTCCAGCTGGGATCACCCGCTAGTAGAAAAAATAGCTGATGCCATGCTCAGAGCCGCAACATCAGACAAGGAGAAAGCCCGCCTCAGAGCATGCGTGCTCCCCTATGCAGGAGACTTTCTCCTTGCAGTACCCATGTCAGCAATGGGTACGCATCTAGATCCAGAATCCCTTTGTGTAGCAGTGGCCATCCGCCTTGGTGCCCCAATACACACTGAATACAAGTGTATTTGCAACAGGGTGGAAACAGAGCAATATGGACTGCATGGGTTGCATTGCGGAAGCACAAAGACCCAAGAACTGCCCGTTTTTTGTTTCAGCGCCTCAGTGTGGCGATCCAGAGGGGAAACGCCTGCTGCATCCTTGGTTCCCGTCCTGAAGCAGAGGAGCTTCAAGAAATCCATAACCTTTAAGCACTCTTTGTATCAACCAATGTATATCTTGTAACCTTTAAACATATCATAAAGCAAAAAAAATCAAAAGGAAAGGGGTGGTAGGAGAAAAGCACACAGAAACTGTATTGGAGGGGACCTAAACATTCCCTCTAATGCATTATGTGTAGTTTCCTCCGAGGCTAAGGGTCCCCTTCTTCCAGCCAGAGGTGGTACTCCCTTCCACATGTGTGTGTGTGTATATATATATATATATATATATATATATATATATATATATATATATATATATATATATATATATATATGTCGTACTTAGTAGCCAGAACTCACTTCTCAGCCTACTATTCAAGGCCCGATTTGCCTAATAAGCCAAGTTTTCCTGAATTAATATATTTACTATAATTTTTTTCTTATGAAATGATAAAGCTACCCTTTTCACTATGTATGAGGTCAATTTTTTTTTATTGGAGTTAAATTTAACGTAGATATATGACCGAACCTAACCAACCCTACCTAACCTAACCTAACCTATATATATAGGTAAGGTTAGGTTAGGTAGCCAAAAAAAGCTAGGTTAGGTTAGGTTAGGTAGGTTAGGTAGACGAAAAAACATTAATTCATGAAAACTTGGCTTATTAGGCAAATCGGGCCTTGCATAGTAGGCTGAGAAGTGAGTTCTGGCTACTAGGTACGACATATATATATATATATATATATATATATATATATATATGTCGTACCTAGTAGCCAGAATGCACTTCTTGGCCTACTATGCAAGGCCTGATTTGCCTAATAAGCCAAGTTTTCCTTAATTAATATATTTTCTCTAATTTTTTTCTTATGAAATGATAAAGCTACCCATTTCATTATGTATGATGTCAATTTTTTTTTATTGGAGTTAAAATTAACGTAGATATATGACTGAACCTAACCAACCCTACCTAACCTAACCTAACCTAACCTATAAAGATAGGTTAGCTTAGGTTAGGTAGCCGAAAAAGTTAGATTAGGTTAGGTTAGGTAGGTTAGGTAGTCAAAAAACAATTATTTCATGAAAACTTGGCTTATTAGGCAAACCGGGCCTTGCATAGTTGGCAGAGAAGTGCATTCTGGCTACTAGGTACGACATATATATATTTTTGAATATTTTTTGAATATTTTATGAGTATTTTTTATTTTTTGGCTTATTAGGCAAATCGGGCCTTACATAGTAGTCTGAGAAGTGCGTTCTAGCTACTAGGTACGACATATATATATATATATATATATATATATATATATATATATATATATATATATATATATATATATATATATATATATATATTTTTTTTTTTTTTTTTTTTTTTTTTGAGATACTGTATATACAAGAGTTGTTACATTCTTGTACAGCCACTAGTATGCGTAGCATTTCGGGCAGGTCCCTGGAATAAGATCCCAGCCGCGAAGAATCGTTTTTACAACCAAGTACTCATTTTACTGTTGAGTTAAACAGAGGCTACAGTTAAGGATTTGCGCCCAGTAAATCCTCCCTGGCCAGGATACGAACCCATGACAAAGCGCTCGCGGAACGCCAGGCAAGTGTATTACCACTACACCACGGAGACTTAATATATATATATATATTACAGAGGTGGGGTACAGAAACAGACAACTGCTGACTCCAGTTAGCTCTCAATTGCTTGTGGTAAACCTTATTCACTAGTTTCCTCAGAATACAACATGCCAATCATTTAACAATTAGGTACCCAATTGCTGCTGGGTGAACAGAGGAGTACAGTTAAGGACTGACATTTAGTCAATCCTCTCCAGCCAGGATATGAACCCAGGCCAAATTGCTCATGAAGAGCAGGGCAAGTGTGTTACCACTGCACCACTGACAATGTAACTTTTGAGATTCATGAAGAATCAAAAACAATAATTACTGTATTATAATTATTATTATTATTATTATAATAATAAATATAATTAATTTATAATTATTGCTCTTCCTTCAGCTTGGTTATTGAAAGAAGCTGGTCTTGGGTGAATGGGGGCTGTGACGATCTCTGTCTGTGAGAGAGCCTTGTGAAACAAATAATAAAATGATTGTCTTGAAAGGAAAATTACTGACCCATGCACTTATCAAAAATTGACTTAATTTTTTTTTAACTTGCTGTACTACATAGCATAAATATATTTGCAGAGAACATGCATATATTATATCTCACCATGCCCATCAGTAGTGCATCTAGACTACTGTACCTCTATTTATTGATTACTGTACTTAAGATTACAAAATGTATCTGAAAAAACATCTTTTTTGGTATTAATGACTGACAGATCAGATAAATTCAATCAATATTTTTCCGATATATTTGTGGGGTTTTTTGCAATACAGTAGTATAGAACTTGAAAAAAAGGTAATCTGTGAACATTAGAAGAGTCTGCCTGTGATGGAATATAACACCTGTAACCCAACAAGAATGGCTCTTATTAATACTTTATCTGTTGAAAATGTTAGTGATTAGCACCTTATATGATGTGATACGTCCCAGTTATAACCTTTTATGTAGGTACCTGCAGAGACATAATTATTATATTGCATGCATTTTGGTGTTTTAAAACTGGCATAAAGGCTCAAGCACCGGTACCCTTCTGGTCAGCAGCTGAGTAGGCACCTGTACAGAGCAGAAATCTCATGTGTTGTATAGTGTACTGGAGATATCCATGCTGCACCACCACATAGCCAAGACATGCCATTACTGCTCCATCATTCAAGAGTGTGAGGAGTGTGTGTGTGTGTGTGTGTGTGTGTGTGTGTGTGTGTGTGTGTGTGTGTGTGTGTGTGTGTGTGTGTGTGTGTGTGTGTGTGTGTGTGTGTGTTTGAAAATACATATTAGAAACACCAGCAATACCTCTGTCCCTCTGGCTGACAGTTGAGTTCACACTTCTGAGGATCATCCAGGTATGGCACCCAACTGTAACACCCCAATGTAACAGTTATAACCACAAACCTCATCACAGCAACAACCAATTCATTAAGATTCTTCATTAAGAACTGCAGTAGTATCCAATAATGTACAGTACATTTATACAAATTATAAACCCTCCCTGACTGACACGAAGATTTCCATAATAATGAACATTTTCTACATATTTTACTATATATATAACTAATGTCAGAAACCAAACACACCATCTGTTGAATACAATACAGCTGCCGAATTTAATAAAAAAAATTGTAATCTGAAGGATGAAAATTGTAGAATTAGAAAGAAATGTAGCAGAGCTTTAGTCAGATCTGCAGTGATAAAGGAGAGTAATAAAATTAACACAATGATGAATTTCTTTCCTTCCTGATAGTACTGTAACTGACAAAGGCATATATGATTACAGTATTAACAAGGTTTTTATAAACACCTAACCAAGTGGAAAAACCCCAACAAATTAATATTCAGTTCTAGTATAACATGTTGTGAATAATTTACCGATTCTAAAGCTTGTAAAACATTTATTTAATTAAATAATCCGATTCAGTAATCGGAATGTGAAGAAAAAGTATCATTCTTGCTTCTTATAGTAAACCTTGGAATTTCAATGTGCATCACAGAAACTGGTGTTGGATCCCCAGTGGATCATTGCTGCTACTCCACAAGATACCCCAGTGAGTCATTGCTGTTATTCCACTGGGTACCCCAGTGAGTCATTGCTATTACTCTACTGGATACCCCAGTGCTGTTACTCCACTGGATACCCCAGTGGGTCATTGCTGTTACTCTACTAGATACCCCAGTGCTGTTACTCCACTGGATACCCCCAGTGGGTCATTGCTGTTACTCTACTAGATACCCCAGTGCTGTTACTCCACTGGATACCCCAGTGGGTCATTGCTGTTACTCTACTAGATACCCCAGTGCTGTTACTCCACTGGATACCCCAGTGGGTCATTGCTGTTACTCTACTGGATATCCCAGTGGGTCTTTGCTGTTACTCCACTGAATACCCTTGTTGTGTTGATTTAGGGGCGACGACGATCGTGGGATCGGATGCGCCCAGGGCTGAATACCCTTGTGGGTCACTGTTGTTACTTCAGTGGATACCCCAGTGGGTCATTGCTATTACTCCACTGGATACCCCAGTAGGTCATTGCTATTACTCCACTGGATACCCCAGTAGGTCATTGCTATTACTCCACTGGATACCCCAGTAGGTCATTGCTATTACTCCACTGGATAAACCAGTAGGTCATTGCTATTACTCCACTGGATACCCCAGTAGGTCATTGCTATTACTCCACTGGATACCCCAGTAGGTCATTGCTATTACTCCACTGGATACCCCAGTAGGTCATTGCTATTACTCCACTGGATACCCCAGTAGGTCATTGCTATTACTCCACTGGATAAACCAGTAGGTCATTGCTGTTACTCCACTGGATACCCCCAGTGAAGTAACAGGAATGTTACTCTTCTAAATTCATATTCGACACATAATTCAAACTCTCAAACCTAATGTATTTTACACACTAAAAAAAAAATCAGTTAAAACTTAAAACAAACTTTTCAAAGATGGTCATCCAAATAAATTACCTTAGTTTCACATTGATAAAAACAATGAAATAATAAAATACACAAGTGTCAAATATATGACGCCTGGGGACTATTCTGCCAGTTAGTCTGCAACAAATATTGAATGAGCAAGTATGAATACAAAATGATGATTAATGCCGTACCACCACAGATCTTAATACAGTCATGTCTTGATGCCTATTTACAGTTTTGTTATCTGTAAAGAATGTATTAAAAATACAGTTACAGTATACATTATTTTATGCTATGTTGTACATACTAAGTGCCTGTATAGAGTATTTGCACACCTACTAGCCATGTACCTGTTCCATTATAACTTGACTGAGAAACCACAATAACAATACTGTAATGTTATTATAATTCTTTTATTATTAGATACAGTACAAAGATTATTGCTTTATATGTCACAACTCGATCTATTGATATTTATTCGACCCTATTTAAGGTTGAAATTATTCACAGACTAGCTAAAACTCGATTTATAAGTTAAAAATATCATAAAAGCATAACAATTTATATACACACTATAGTCCATAATAACAATTCACTGTGACTCTACTGCATTATCTTTCACAGTAAAACACCATAGTTTATCTGAGCCTTGAGTGAGCCTTTGCATATCCTCTCTCCATTCTTACACTAATGTCCTTTACAATATTTATTTCTCATTTATTCTGGCAATAATAAATGCCAAAATATGTACCGTTATTATTCGTGAATGTTGCTACAAATACCAGCCCTGCATGTGGCTACACCAGCCCTGCATGTGGCTACACCAGCCCTGCATGTGACTACATCAACCCTGCATGTGGCTACACCAGCCCTGCATGTGACTACACCAACCCTGCATGTGGCTACACTAGCCCTGCATGTGACTACACCAACCCTGCATGTGGCTACACCAACCCTGAATGTGACTACACCAGCCCTGCATGTGGCTACACCAGCCCTGCATGTGGCTACACCAGCCCTGCATGTGACTACACCAACCCTGCATGTGGCTACACCAGCCCTGCATGTGACTACACCAACCCTGCATGTGGCTACACCAGCCCTGCATGTGACTACACCAGCCCTGCATGTGGCTACACTAGCCCTGCATGTGACTACATCAACCCTGCATGTGGTTACACCAACCCTGAATGTGACTACACCAGCCCTGCATGTGGCTACACCAGCCCTGCATGTGACTACACCAACCCTGCATGTGGCTACACCAGCCCTGCATGTGACTACACCAGCCCTGCATGTGACTACACCAGCCCTGCATGTGGCTACACCAGCCCTGCATGTGGCTACACCAACCCTGCATGTGGCTACACCAGCCCTGCATGTGACTACACCAGCCCTGCATGTGGCTACACCAGCCCTGCATGTGGCTACACCAGCCCTGCATGTGGCTACACCAGCCCTGCATGTGGCTACACCAGCCCTGCATGTGGCTACACCAGCCCTGCATGTGGCTACACCAGCCCTGCATGTGGCTACACCAGCCCTGCATGTGGCTACACCAGCCCTGCATGTGACTACACCAACCCTGAATGTGGCTACACCAGCCCTGAATGTGACTACACCAGCCCTGCATGTGGCTACACCAACCCTGCATGTGGCTACACCAACCCTGCATGTGGCTACACCAGCCCTGCATGTGACTACACCAGCCCTGCATGTGGCTACACCAGCCCTGCATGTGGCTACACCAACCCTGAATGTGGCTACACCAGCCCTGCATGTGGCTACACCAGCCCTGCATGTGACTACACCAACCCTGAATGTGGCTACACCAGCCCTGCATGTGGCTACACCAGCCCTGCATGTGACTACACCAATCCTGAATGTGGCTACACCAGCCCTGCATGTGGCTACACCAGTCCTGCATGTGACTACACCAGCCCTGCATGTGGCTACACCAGCCTGCATGTAGCTACACCAGCCCTGCATGTGGCTACACCAGCCCTGCATGTGACTACACCAACCCTGCATGTGACTACACCAACCCTGAATGTGGCTACACCAGCCCTGAATGTGGCTACACCAGCCCTGAATGTGGCTACACCAGCCCTGCATGTGGCTACACCAGCCCTGCATGTGGCTACACCAGCCCTGCATGTGGCTACACCAGCCTGCATGTAGCTACACCAGCCCTGCATGTGGCTACACCAGTCCTGCATGTGACTACACCAGCCCTGCATGTGGCTACACCAGCCTGCATGTAGCTACACCAGCCCTGCATGTGGCTACACCAGCCCTGCATGTGACTACACCAACCCTGCATGTGACTACACCAACCCTGCATGTGACTACACCAACCCTGAATGTGGCTACACCAGCCCTGAATGTGGCTAAACCAGCCCTGCATGTGGCTTCACCAGTCCTGAATATATATGTACGAAAGGAGCGTCTCACCTGTAATATTTTCCTTCAAAGGGAACACTGTTGTATCTCTGGCACTGCTCGGCCCGGAAATCCGTCGATCCTTCCGGGCATGACTGAGGAGAGAAGGTCAGGCGTAGTTAGTCAAATACAATGTTGTGCAGGCTCACTATCACTGTCACCATACTGAGGCACCGTACAGTGCCTTCTTACTAACACTCTTCCAGGTCAACTGTCACCAACACTCTTCCTGGTCAACTGTCACCAACACTCTTCCAGGTCAGCTCTCACCAACACTCTTCCAGGTCAGCTCTCACCAACACTCTTCCAGGTCAACTGTCACCAACACTCTTCCAGGTCAGCTCTCACCAACACTCTTCCAGGTCAGCTCTCACCAACACTCTTCCAGGTCAACTGTCACCAACACTCTTCCAGGTCAACTGTCACCAACACTCTTCCTGGTCAACTGTCACCAACACTCTTCCAGGTCAGCTCTCACCAACACCCTTCCAGGTCAACTGTCACCAACACTCTTCCAGGTCAACTGTCACCAACACTCTTCCTGGTCAACTGTCACCAACACTCTTCCTGGTCAACTGTCACCAACACTCTTCCAGGTCAGCTCTCACCAACACTCTTCCAGGTCAGCTCTCACCAACACTCTTCCAGGTCAACTGTCACCAACACTCTTCCTGGTCAACTGTCACCAACACTCTTCCAGGTCAACTGTCACCAACACTCTTCCAGGTCAACTGTCACCAACACTCTTCCAGGTCAACTGTCACCAACACTCTTCCTGGTCAACTGTCACCAACACTCTTCCAGGTCAACTGTCACCAACACTCTTCCAGGTCAACTGTCACCAACACTCTTCCAGGTCAACTGTCACCAACACTCTTCCTGGTCAACTGTCACCAACACTCTTCCAGGTCAACTGTCACCAACACTCTTCCTGGTCAACTGTCACCAACACTCTTCCAGGTCAACTGTCACCAACACTCTTCCAGGTCAACTGTCACCAACACTCTTCCAGGTCAACTGTCACCAACACTCTTCCTGGTCAACTGTCACCAACACTCTTCCTGGCCAACTGTCACCAACGCTCTTCCAGGTCAACTGTCACCAACACTCTTTCCTGGTCAACTCTCAACAACACTCTTCCAGGTCAACTCTCAACAACACTTCCATATTCATTCTCATCAACACTTCCAAGTCCCTCTACCACTCTTCCAGGTCCCTCTAACACCCTTCTGTGTCTATCACACCTACCAAATTACTAACATTACATTACAGCAGATTGACGAAGAAACGGACCTAGGAGTCCGTTTGGACTCCTAGGTCCGATTCACTGATGTTACTGATGTCCGATAGGTCCGAAACGGATCCTATCAGTAAATCCACTATTCACTGATAGTTGCTCAACAGGTGGGAGCAGCAGTCAGAAAGGTAACCAAACCCTTGGGAATAATCAAGTGTACTTTTGACTTTAAGGAAAAGAAGGTAGTGATTCTACTGTATAAATCTCTGGTGCTTAGTAATCGATTTGGATTACTGTATCCAACTATGGAGACCTCATTTTCAGAAGGACATAGCTGTTCTGAAAAAAGTGCAACACTGGGCAACAAAAGTCATTCCAGAGTTAAGTCAATTCGTGTAACAGGAATGGTTGAAGGCCACAGGGCTAACAACGCAAAACAGGCATGACTGAGCGGATCTCATTGAAACGTTTAAAATACTGAATAAGTTGGAGGATACTGATACGGACGATTTCTTCAAAGGGGCAGATGTAACACAAACAGGGAGCGACGGTTTCAAACTCAACAAGCCACAATGTAGGACTGAGAACGGGAGATGATTTTTCACCCACAAGGTTATAAGTCCATGGAACCACCTACCCGCCGAGGCGTTAATACCAAAACTGTACTGAGTTTTAAAATCTACCTGGAAACGATCATCAAATCAAATGTGGGGACCTTCGACAATCCGCCGGCTTCCTGTCCTCGTCTTAGCCACTAGAGTTAGTGGCACTAAGGTAAACCAGGTAAAATCAGGTCCACTCTCAACAACACACTTCCAGATCCCTTCTTACCAACCACTCAAACACGCCAACCAGTCAGCCAAACAAGCTGCTACTTGCTGCTGCAGACAAACAAGCTAAACTTGCTAAATATTAACTCCTTCCACACATTCTCTTGTGTCAACTACATTTACAAAACCCTGTTCTTAAATGCAAACCATGCTCTGAAACTCTCCCTGGACGATGTAATAGGACCCATTATCACCACACCAGAAATAAATATCTCTTTGATATCCCCAGGGTCAAACTTAATCTGTGTAAACACTCTATGCAAATTAAGGGACCTAGTCTATGGAACTCACTCCCTAGTGAATTGAAAAACTGTAAAACTTTTGCCTTATTTAAAAGCAAAACCAAAAAGTACCTAACTTCATCTTCTTAGTTTCCTACACTGAGCTTTAAATTTGCTCTGTACCTAGTGTTACCCAATCTCCTAATTTTTATGTAATATCAAACAACCTTATCATTGTGTTCATTGCTGTCTTCTTTTATGTGCTAGCCATATGCTGTATTGTGACTACCAATTTTTGTCAACTACCATTCAAGCTGTCATTGCAATCAATCTTAGCTACCTATGTGCTTTAATATACTGTACCTACAATTTTCTCTCATCTTTTTTTTCATTTCATGTAATCTGTTATCATTTTTTGTCTATAATTTTGCAAGTATTTACCTCCTTAAAATTTTCTTAGATTAAGGACCTGCCCGAAACGCTGCGCGTGCTAGTGGCTTTACAAGACTGTAATTACCATATTTGTATCCTCACATTCCTTATGTACATTCTTGTATATGCATAAATAAATAAATAAATAAATAAAAAGCTAACCATTCAACCAAACAAGCTAACCAGACAGTCAAACGTGCCAACCAGTCGGTAAAACGCGCCAACCAGTCGGTCAAACACGCCAACCATTAAACCAAACAAGCTAACCATTCAACCAAGCAAGCGACTCAGTTAGCTAAACAAGCCAACTAGTCAGTCTACCATACCAACCAGTCACCCATACAAACAAATCAGTCAGCCACATAACCAAACCAATCAGTCAAAGACGCCAAATATTTAAAGTTAGCCCCGAGTGATGTGACCTATTAAAGCAAGCAATGACCGGCTTGTTCCAAATGTCGCCTTGGTAGTCGCCCACGCTCCCACCCCCACCACACTTGTGTTTCACAGCCCACGCTCCCACCCCACCACACTTGTGTTTCACAGCCCACGCTCCCACCCCACCACACTTGTGTTTCACAGCCCACGCTTCCACCCCCACCACACTTGTTTCACAGCCCACGCTCCCACCCCCACCACACTTGTGTTTCACAGCCCACGCTCCCACCCCCACCACACTTGTGTTTCACAGCCCACGCTCCCACCCCCACCACACTTGTGTTTCACAGCCTACGCTCCCACCCCCACCACACTTGTTTCACAGCCCACGCTCCCATCCCCACCACACTTGTGTTTCACAGCCCACGCTCCCACCCCCCACCACACTTGTGGTTCACAGCCCACGCTCCCACCCCCACCATACTTGTTTCACAGCCCACGCTCCCACCCCCACCACATTTGTTTCACAGCCCACGCTCCCATCCCCACCACACTTGTGTTTCACAGCCCACGCTCCCACCCCCCACCACACTTGTGGTTCACAGCCCACGCTCCCATCCCCACCACACTTGTTTCACAGCCCACGCTCCCACCCCCACCACACTTGTGTTTCACAGCCCACGCTCCCACCCCCACCATACTTGTGTTTCACAGCCCACGCTCCCACCCCCACCACACTTGTTTCACAGCCCACGCTCCCACCCCCCACCACACTTGTGGTTCACAGCCCACGCTCCCACACCCCACCATACTTGTGTTTCACAGCCCACGCTCCCACCCCCACCACACTTGTGTTTCACAGCCCACGCTCCCACCCCCCACCACACTTGTGTTTCACAGCCCACGCTCCCACCCCCCACCACACTTGTGGTTCACAGCCCACGCTCCCACCCCCCACCACACTTGTTTTTGACAGCCCACGCTCCCACACCCCACCATACTTGTGTTTCACAGCCCACGCTCCCACCCCCCACCACACTTGTGTTTCACAGCCCACGCTCCCAACCCACCACACTTGTGTTTCACAGCCCACGCTCCCACCCCCACCACACTTGTGTTTCACAGCCCACGCTCCCACCCCCCACCACACTTGTGTTTGACAGCCCACGCTCCCACACCCCACCATACTTGTGTTTCACAGCCCACGCTCCCACCCCCCACCACACTTGTGTTTCACAGCCCACGCTCCCACCCCCACCATAATTGTGTTTGACAGCCCACGCTCCCACCCCCCACCATACTTGTGTTTCACAGCCCACGCTCCCACCACACTTGTGTTTCACAGGCCACGCTCCCACCCCCCACCACACTTGTGTTTCACAGCCCACGCTCCCACCCCCCACCATACTTGTGTTTCACAGCCCACGCTCCCACCCCCACCACACTTGTGTTTCACAGCCCACGCTCCCACCCCCACCACACTTGTGTTTCACAGCCCACGTTCCCACCCCCACCATACTTGTGTTTCACAGCCCACGCTCCCACCCCCACCACACTTGTGGTTCACAGCCCACGCTCCCACCCCCCACCACACTTGTGGTTCACAGCCCACGCTCCCACCCCCACCACACTTGTGTTTCACAGCCCACGCTCCCACCCCCACCACACTTGTGTTTCACAGCCCACGCTCCCACCCCCCACCACACTTGTGTTTCACAGCCCACGCTCCCACCCCCACCACACTCGTTTCACAGCCCACGCTCCCACCCCCCACCACACTTGTGGTTCACAGCCCACGCTCCCACCCCCACCACACTTGTGGTTCACAGCCCACGCTCCCACCCCCCACCACACTTGTGGTTCACAGCCCACGCTCCCACCCCCACCACACTTGTGTTTCACAGCCCACGCTCCCACCCCCACCACACTTGTGGTTCACAGCCCACGCTCCCACCCCCCACCACACTTGTGTTTCACAGCCCACGCTCCCACCCCCA